TTTTCGGCCAACGAACCCAGAGAAACTTAAAAATCCATCTCCATTTGACGCTCGACACTTCGCTAAATCATTCAGTTATGTATCACACATGGCAAACGAATCGCGATGAATGAAACTCACAATTTTGCATTTCATTTGCTCGATATGAATTCTAAATTTTGCATTATCAAAGCTTGCACTGATTGCGATTGCTACGGTTCTAAGAAATCCGATCGATAAACATATCAGTAAACAAAAGAGAAATAAAACGAGAGACAAATTATGTAACACATTATGTATCACTGGATTATTTGTATGTGCCTGCCGCTAAAAAATATCGTTAAAAACTATTTTATCTCTTCCTACTCTCAATACGTCGTGAGATTTTCAGAACTTTTTCGCAGTCTGACTTTTCCGATCGGTTTTAATTTTTTTCGGACTTGGATCTTTCTTATTTTTCATGCAGGATGGACTTGGATCTTCTTTAGTTCTTTTCCAATTTTCTCTCTTTGCATTAAGCATCGCAGACAGATGCGGACAGATGGCGAAGAACAACAGTTTAACCGTTCCTAAAACGGAGGGGTTCGAACTGCATCGGTTCGGCTGCCCTTTCGTTCATTGCATTCATCGATAAATCGGTTCACGCCGGTAGTCTTTGCCCCCGCGGAGTCACAGAGGCTGCGGTTAAACCGTTTCGCTATATGCAGAGTGGGGACCCTTGTGGCGATGTGGGACATCAGTTTTGCTTGTTTAATTCGCGAGACGAGTCGCCGGCACGAACGCTTTTCTGCGGTCGCTGCATCGAACCACGATAATAATCATCATCATCATCATTATCACCATCATCATCGTCATCATCATTATCATCATCATCTTTTTCATTATTATTGTCGCCATCATTGTCATCACGTTTTTAAACTAGAATGCACAATCACGAGTCTATAGAGATACGTTATTGTTATACAGAGCGTCATCGGTAGATTTTATTTCATGATAAAAACTTATGTCACAATTAAATCGTATATACCACGCTCGTATATACTATGCTATTATTTCGAAGTGCCTGAATATAGGTGTCAGACACTGACAAGTGTGCATCACGAGTATCTCGTGTGTGTGTTACGACGGATCTTCGAAGTCCAAGCATTGTTAACTCTTCATTCCTGGATGCATGTCGTAATGTACGCGCGATCTTTTATAATGGAAGGATGAACACTCTTCGATCTTTTGCCTAAACATAAAATTATATACATATTTCGATTTTCTCGAGTGAATTATAACTGTATATCCTGCAACGAATTATTTGTACATTCTACACTTCGAAGGGCTGAAATACCCTTCACCCTACGATGTTGCTGCAAACAACAATGAGTGGCATACCGTGGCGATGAGAAATCAATTTTGCAGCAGTGATATCTCTGTTACCATATTTTATGGTACTCGATATTTCCATCGCATCGAAGTGCCAGACTGTTGCGCGTAATGTCGAGCTACTGAAGCGGGGTGATTGAACTCGGTAAATACAAAGATAATCCGTAATACGACGATAATTTGAATTTATGAGAAAATTATTAATTATTAATCATTAATCAAAAAGAAAGAGAGAGAGATGAAACAGATTTTTTTACAAAACAAATTATTTATTATTGCAATTATCAATCTTTCTTTATAAAAGAATTGTATTTTATAGAATTATAACGGGCTTGAAATAAAACTCGTATTGATGTTTAATATAAACCGCGACAGCATTGTTAATTAAGCTAATCAATGAAAATACAAGACCGTCTTCGGTAGTTGTATCGTAGAATAATTATTTATTGTATAAAACAAAGTGCGAGACTTTCTTCTTTCGCTTTCTTCTTTGATAAATGCATCCAAAACCATTTTTATTAATAATTAATCATAAATGACAATGCCTCGCGATAGTTATTAATAAATTGTCATAAATGACAAAACTTGTGTGCATAATATTAATGCACTTTAATGTATATTTTTAATTCTTATTTTATTATGTAAATTTAATTTTTTCCTCAGTATTTATTCCCATTTTTTTTTAAGATATTGTAGATTTTTTTCAATTCAGGCAATGCTTTTATTATCAAGATAAAGAAAAGGATAAACAAATTGACATAAACATAAAAAATAACGATCCAGATGAACAGTTCGTTCTCAAATAATTATTCTGCCAATTTAATTTTACATCAGCTCATATGATTTTACGAGAAAAAATTCAGTATATTATCTGTGTTTCAGATCGGCGGATCATCATGCTTACTTTCCAATTCATTCACGCGATCGTCTTGCTGGCTACGATCTTCGTGTAAGCATTAAAAACAGCGGAGCAATAATGCGTAAGAGCTTGCGCCATACACATGTTACGGCATACGGCGATTAACGTTTCAATGGTGTTTCAGGATCGGCAAGTGCCATGCTCATTCTACGATTCAACAACGGCAAGAGTTGAGACCGTTGTGCACAAGCTGTGGCGACGAATGTGATAAATGCGACTTCGGTTTCATAATATCGACTGTCTGTGGTACCCCGCAATGTCGACGAGTGAGTAATAATGACAATTAAGAAACATTATATTGCGTTGTCCTGCTGCAGAAAAACATCCTTAAAATACCGTTCATCATACCGTTCTAAGAATCGAAGTTTTGTTTTAAAATTGAATAAAATTTCCATTCTATTACTAATCTGGAACATACAGAAATACAGAAAGTTACATTTGATTTTCGAGAAATAAATTTAATATAAACTTTAAATAGCATATAATTAATGTAACATGTTATACATCAACATGATAATATCAACGTGAATAGTTTTTCGCATTTCGTTGTTCTCCACCTGAAAATTTGTGAAGTATTTTCGTGCGTGCTACCATGGTCTTATCTCAGCTCCGATTTACCGTAGGGTCCTGGAGAAATTTGTGGTGGTCCAAGTGACACCTGGGGTGTCTGCGGCGACGGATTGATCTGCAGTTGCAACCGATGTTCCGGCTGTAGTCTAGACTCTCTCACATGTTTCGCGAATCCTTGTCTGCCTCATCAGAGCCTAGAATCGCGGGGCCACGTCGATATCCTCGATAGATATGCTCCCATCAACAGAATCGTCAACTAAACGGAACTCAACCCAACCCCCGGATGGACGAAAAGGATAACGGATGGATGTGAAATGATGAATGTGAGGAATGAATGTGAGAACGAGAGAAAGAGAAAGAGAAAGAGAAAGAGAGAGAAAATGAAAAAAAAGAGAAAGAGAGAAGTAGAGAGAGAAAGAGAGGGTGAAAGAGAAAGAAATGCGGATATGTATTAGTGATTTTCCGAATTATTTATTGCATTTCACGATATTAATCTCATTAGGTATCTACAATTGTGATAGACAACTCTCGTCGGAGCTCGTCTCTATCCACACCCTTCCCTTTCGCGAGACGACTCCGCGTGCCCCTGTATAATGGCATTTCTGTGATTTTTTTTTAATTACTACGTTTAATTCCCATCTTTGTACACGCGCGACTCGCCGAAGCGCGTACTTGCGAACACGCGTGAACGAGCGAGCGAGCGAGCGAGCGAGTGTGCGTCGCTGACTAGATTGATCTCGTGAGATATTTGATGATTCATCGTCATCGCCTGGTTTCTTGGCTGTGAATCGCGTCTCTTGCAAAGTATCGCGCGCAGAGACGATCGACGGGAGTCTTCGATGCTTCCACCGAAAAGCGTCGCGATGCAAATCGGATAGATCGGAAGAAAACATCGAGGACGAAATGAACGAGGAAGATATAAAAGGATTCCTCCTCCTCTTACTCCCTCCCTCTATCCCTGCCTCTTTTCCTGCTGAAATTGTCAACATTGTCGATATGATTTCTTTTCTTTACATTCCGATCGTATGTATTTACAAAAGATGTATTCGACACTATGCATTTATCTTAATATTTATTTTCAATATCCGATATCATCATCGATGTTTAAGAAAATGTCACATCCTCCGGATAAAGCGCGCTCGCTTCGATATATTGAATTATAATTATAATTGTAATTATAATTATATTCTAATCAGTGTGTCATTACGCCTTGTTAATGAACTAATATTTATTAATAGACGCGGAAATTATTTTCGTTTCTAGTTTCGTTTCGTAACTTTTTTTCATTCATCGGTACTTCACCGCGTCGATTACTCATCCATAAATGCGTCCTCGAGAAAACGGTGATTACTTCATGTATAGCTCTCGGTATTCCCGCGGTGACCAGCCGCGCGAATGCTTCGGCGAATGTCGCCCTATGTAACGGACAACAGAATAAAACTGATTGCATTCATATGAGCATTATTGGCACACCAACGTATCTTCTCTCATCCCAAATTAATCTGTTTATCCGCGTTCTTAAACGAATCCAGCTTCTTCATTCACAACGAGATGAAATGGTCTCTTCATGATGACAAATGAAACGAAATGATTTGTTTGCGCGACGATAAACGAAAGTAACTCTTACGAATGAAAGCGTTCTATCGCATTTTTCTAAATTTGATCTCTTTCATTCTCGTTTAAATATACTTGTTTAAATTTACTTTGAGTTTTGTTTTTTTCTTTTTGTTTAAACAAATTAATGTTGAATTTATGATAAATTGAAGCGTCTATAGTATCTTGTACACATTAAAGCATGCCTTTTCTATAATCAAGTGCTGCCATCCAGAAGTACCGGAATGTCTTACTCATCGAATGAACTGTCTTACTCATCGGATAATGTATTAGATTTACATACATACATAAGTATAAAATAATCTCGTTTGCAATTACTCAACAAATACTCACCGAATAATAAAAAATATATTTACTAAAATGGATTCCAACATAGATCTGCTCTTTAGTTATATCAATATATTAAATATTAAAATCATTCTTATAAAGATTAAAAATTTATTATTTATAAAATCGAATAGATATTATGAAATATATACGCAAGTATAACAACAAAAAGTATATAATATTTTATATGTACATCTTTATGTCCTACTCATTATTATTGTGTCTTACTCAAGTATTATTTATCAACAAAATTGCATGGATATGAAATTACAATACAGAAGTTTTTAATACTAATTCACAATAAATTCATGAATTTATAATCAACGTATTAATTACATTATATAAAAAATAATGTAATTAATAAAATTTTATATAATATAATTAACGTATTAATTATATTAATTATATAAAAAAATGATGAAATAACAAGAAAGTAGAGTATCAAGAAATTTATATTATAATTATTTACTAACTTCTATCATATGTTATATATATGAATATATATCAATTTCCTTGTTATCTTCAAATCATACTTTGATCATTACTTTTTTTTTCATTATTATTATTCTTTACTTGTTACTGCTATCGTATAGAAAAATCATTAGGAAAAAAACGAAATAAAGAAATAATTAAGATTATTGTAAAACATTTCGCTAATTATTACTTAATTTTCGAAATGACTTTCGACGAGATTAACGAACTCGCAGTCCAAAAATATACGATTATCATGAAACAATGTAATTAACTTAAATGAAATCGCACGTGCGCACGCATCGTTTTCTTCTGTGTCTCCGATACAATTGCAAGGTTTCGTCCGCAAGTCGCAAAAGAACCCACAAAATGCTGAAAACAAAATGATACATAGTATTAAAACAAGTATATCCGGGAAGGTCGAGACACGTGCCAAAGAATTTAGTGCTAGGGAGAATTTAAGGGTCAAGGGCTCGAGGCGCGAGCTCGACGTTATATTTAAACCGCTTGTAAAAGCGACGAGATGTTGCGGACACATGTTGCAGTTGTTTACATTTTCCTTCTGCAGTTAATGAATGCCGATTAATATTAGCACGCAATCGTCACGATCATCACGAGTTATTATGTTTCAGAGACAGAGTCTGGAAAATAATGCTTTTATATTTCCTGAAAAATTCTCGCTATTGTCGGAACACGCAATGTCGGAATAAGAGAAGATAATGCCCATTATGGCGTACAAATGTCCTGTGATTATTTTAAAATACATCGTCGAAGCAAGTAGAGAGAAAAAAAAAATCTATTCTTACTTTTCGCCGGGTAAGCTTCGGGTTCAATTTTAATAATTTTTCGTTGTTCTCTATCATTATGTATTAGATATATAACAAAGTATATATTTCATAATATATCAATCTTCAAATGTGATATGCATTTCTTAATATAAATTAAATTATGTTAAACAATTTCGCAAAAGCATATATTTTGAAACAATTTATTTTGAAATGTTTATTTGTTAGCAATATACAAATTAAAGAAAATTAGACATTCCAGATTTATTAAAAAATTTACATATTTAACAGCCATGTATAATTATGTTAAAATAGGGGAAAAAGCAGATTAAAAATATATATCAAAGTAATTATCACATCTCCCACAACTTTAACTCCACGACAGATGCACGATCTCGTACGTAATAGCCCTTAATTTACATCAGTGCAATCACGAGACATAAACGAGGAGCACCTCTCGCACACATCGACGTCCCACGTCGCCTCTCCTTCGACACCAGACCAGACACCATAAGATACAGCCTATTGACCGTTCTGCTTCAGCAACTTCCGCGTCCTGAAGCCACGGAAGCCAGCCTGGATCCTTGTTGCCGCTGCCTGAACGGCCTGCTGCCTCTTCCGCACCAGGAAGCCACGAATTCCCGCCTGGATTTTCGTCGCCGATTTCTCCTCGAGCGCCTCCCGAGTGCTTTGTCTCTTCAGCAGATGTTCCTTTGGTTTCGAGTGCTCCTGCTGCCGCTGTTGGTCCTGCTGCTGATCCTGCTGATTCTGCTGCTGTTGCTGCTGACGACGACGCTGCGTAGATTCCTTCAGCTGCTTGCGCACGCGGTACCCGCGAAAGTTGGCCTGGATTTTCGTCGCCGCCGTGTTGGCCTTCATCGCGTCGGCCTCCTCCTTCGGAGTCTGCGACATGAACGAAGTTTCTGAGCCGGTCACGCTAAGCTCCGCGTCTCGGGGATTGAAATTCGTTCGGTCCAAGTCTTCCAAAAATTGTTTTCAAGAGGCTTCCGACTCCGCGGAGACTCGGCGTTTTCCCGGATTGTTTACAAAAGCCGTTTCCGGAGGTTCGCGTACCTTCAGCTTATTTACAAAAATCGACTTCAGAAACGAAAAGAATTTCAAGTTATTCCTGATTATTTGTAAAGATCGTTCTCGAGAGGAGAGATCTATTCGAGAGTTCTTCTGGCAATTTGTCGGAATTGTATTCTGGAAAACAACCAGAAGAGAGGTGAAGCTTCCCTAAATTATTTTTTTAGAAAGATTTATTTCAAGGAAACGAGGTAATGTTGTGAGCGGTATAATCCCTCGATTATTTATGATCCCGCCAATGAAAATGGAACGAACAACTACTCAGGATCCTTTCGATCATCTATAAATATCGATACTAGAGAAAAAAAGAGATCTTCTTTCTTTATAAAAATTCTTTGGAAAGAAACCTTCAGTTTGATTATTTCGCCCACGGGAGATCGCAGTGTCGATCGTGATCGATCAGAGAAGACGAAGCGAGTCGTAGGAAGTATTTATAAAAACAAATTCCAATAGATTTCGGATCTCTTTACGGGGATTCATAAATGTCGATCCGAGAAAGTGGAACAGATCTGACTGTTCTTCCGATCGCGACCTCCTTATCTCTTCTTCGAGGAATCAATCTCGGTGAGAGGAAGCTCTATCTCACGATTGCTCGTTCTCGCACTTTTGCGCTCACTTCCGATCGCGATCTCCTTATCGCGCGTCCTCCTGGCCAGAAGCGAAATGGGAAACTGACGCGCAACGGATGCGACAAAGAGGTGCGCGCTTATCCGCCTCGTACGAAGGATGGATCTATCACGCATGCGTTCTGCAATGATAACCCGACTGCGAGAGTCGTGCGGTTCTCCGAAACCGTCGATCGCCTTCATGTCTTATTTCATGCATCCGAGGATAGTTAATTTCGTACAAAGTTGGCAGAGGGTGAGCACCGATCGTCCGATAGCCGCGGAAACGACCTTCGCATGTTTTTAAATAAAGCTAAAAATGCGAGACCGGATTTTATTTGCCTTACAGGAAGACTGAAGAAAGGATGTAACTCGAGGACAATCGCAACTGAACCGCGCACCAAATGGTACACTAATTTTTTATTCAAAATACATATTGCATTTATATGCATATTTTTTTATTTTATATATATATATATATATATATTTCATTTTTGTAATGGAATAAAAAATTGCGAGATTTATTGAAAATTTCTCTTTACATTACGTGAAGAGAAATTAAATTTTACGCAGATAATTATCCAATTATTACGGCACGATTTTCATTTTTTATTTTTGTTTCCTAGCGTTCATTCAGAAATATAATGTAAACGACTTAATTTAGAAGACTGTATAATACACTCGTTTGAATACCGAATCGGACATTTATTCTTCCACTTGCGGCTTGATTGATCGCGTCGTGTCAGGGGAACGTTGTATTGGGGAGCTCGCAAAGTGTTCGTAATACATCGCCCGGGACAGCATTAATTTCGGTCTCGTGAGTGCGGTCGACATGTGCGTCACAGTAAATTCGTCGTCCTGAGGCCAATATACGCTGATTGATGATTGATGCTCGCGAGAGTGTCGACGAAAGGCCGGCGCGCGCGTGCGACCAAGAACATTCCAATTTGTTTGCGTCCGCCGTTTGATTTCGCTCGTGTATTCGCGCATAACTCTTTTCCAATGCTCATCATCACGAAAATATACTCGCTCGAACGATACGCATCGTCCAATCGACTGGCTCGAACATCGATAACAATCCCGCTCATAGATCTCGTTCTCCGTTCACCATTCATTCAAAGAACATTTTGCGAATTATACATTAATATTTGTTAGTAATTATTATTATCTTTTAAATTATTTTTAGATTATATTGCAATGATTATATTGATATTAAGTATACAAATTAAAATTACACGGTGATTTTGTACGTGTTTTAAGGTAGAAAAGTAGATGCAATGTTACCTCTTGTTACGCGAGAGGTTGCAATGTCATTTTAATCAATGTAAGTTTTTCCGATAGAAATAATATTTTAAAACTACAATTTTATAAAAGTATAAAATTCATGTCTGTCGCTTGTAAATCGCTTATAAATTCCAATGCGGTATAGGCGATGAAGTGACACTTGCATCTACTATTAATAAACTAAAAGTGCTCTCTGAAAAGAAGTTGCTTTCGTCAATTACGGTTTTTCATTAAAGGCGATTTCGTGGTTATTTGAAGGCCACGCCATTTAATTTTAAGGTACACAAAGAAACTTTAAAAATAAATAAGAAAGATGGAGACCAAGAGAATGTTATACGATCCAGATATCTTCCTAACAATTTTCTCGGAATGAGGCTATCTGTCCGCGTGGCCCGCAGCTGCACTCGTTCTCTCTGATTTCGCTTACCTTTCGGAGATACCGGACGTACGTGACAAAACTGCAGCAGAGGATCGCTCGCGACTATCGGCGAGCGTGATTGATTCTCGAAGCTGATGATCACCACAAAAAAAAAGGGTGTGTGAGAGAGAGAGAGAGAGAGAGAGAGAGAGAGAGAG